TGGAAAAGCCTTAAGCTACAGCCAATCAAATGACTGGAACAATTTGCAAGGATAAAGTAAGAATGGAGCATGTGAAAGGCTGTGCCCTGATGAAAGCTATAGTTATTACTAAGTAACACAGTAATTTAATTATTGAAATGGAAAGGCTATCAAAATCAGCAAAATATGCCTTTATTTTAGTGCAAGAAAAAGCTCAAAGCCTTTTCAATGATTTAAAATCTGCACATGCAGCAAGTGAAGGTGATTGTGATGAACAATCTGTTGCAAGTGGGGGTTGGTTCAATCGTTTCAAAGGAAGGGCAAATTTACATAATATTAAAGTGCTGATGGAAGTGCTGCAAGTGATTTTCCTGAAATGTTGAAAAAAATTATTGAGAAAGGTTATTCAGAGACCAAACATTTAATGTAGACGAGACTAGCTTATTTTGGAAAAACATGCTGGAAAGGACCTACATTTCTAAAGAGAAAAAAAAAAAAAATGCACCAAGGCATAAGGCATCAAAGGATAGGCTAATGTTATTGCTTGAGGGTAACACATACAGGGATTTCTAACTTAATCCACTGCTTGTGTAACCAAAACCAAACCCACTGTTATCAAGTTGATTCCAACAGTGACCCTATAGGACAGAGTAGAACATCCTTATAGGGTTTCCAAGGCTATAAATTTTTATGGAAGCAGACTGCCACATCTTTCTCCCACAGAACAACTGGTAGGTTCGAACTGCTGACCTTTTGATTACCAGCCAAGTACTTTAACCATTGATCCCTAAATCCAAAGGCACTTTGCCGTATCACTAAAACATATCTTCATTTTATTTGGAAGGCAGATGCCAAAGCTTGGGTTATAATTGCTTTGAAGACTGGTTCTTTCACCATTTTGTCCCTGCTGTTGAACATTATTGCTTGGTCAAGAAAATTCAAGATTCTCCTGATGCTTGACAACACTCCCAGACTCCAAACACTTTAGATGACTTCACCCAATGTAAAGGTCATATTTTTATCCTCCAGCATCACATCACTACTTAAGCCAATGGATGAGGGAGTCATAGCCTCTTTTAAGGTCTAACATTTATGACAGACCTTCTCACAAGCAGTCAGGGCTACCCAAGATGATGTGATGAGCTTAAGGGAGTTCTGGAGGAATTATAACATCTATGATGCTATCAAAAATATTGCTCATTCTTGGGATGAAGTGAAGCAGTCAAATACGAGTGCATAACAAATTATGCCCCCAATTCATGCATGCCTTTTAGGGGTTTACAGGTGATGACATCACCTAAGCCAGCCAAGCTGATTACCATTGGCATTGGTAATCAACTGCAGATAGACATCAGTGAAAATGATGTCATACAGTTACTCAATTCCCAGGCTGAAGAACTAACCAATGAAGACCTTATGGAACTGAAACAGCAGATGATAGCACTTGATGAAGAAGACTGGGACCTCAAAAGCAAAAGTTTTTGATGAATTAGCTGAAGTCTTTTGTCTCATTCAAGCAGGGATGGCAAAGTTAGAGGAGCAAGATCCTAATACAGACAGGTTCACCAAAGTTTACTGTTCAGTTGCCTATGGCCTCAGCTACAAGATCATTTATAAAAGAAAAAGAAAAGTTCTGTATAAGCCTTCCTTGATGCCTACTTCAAGAAATTGACTCCACTGGTAACCCCCACCTCTCCAGCAGCAGAATCAAATCCTGACCCATCCATCCTCTCCAACACCAGGCCTATCATCTTCAGTAGTACCCATCTCTCCATCATCTTCTCAAGCATCATCCAATCATTAATGTTATCATAATGTTACCTCATGAATGCCCCTTCCAGTATGCAAAGCACTGATGGAATGAAAGCAAGTGCTAACCTTTAATCATAATCTTTTTGTTTTGTTTTGTTTTTCTATCCAAACTATTTTAAGAACTGTTTTTTCAATTTTTTCCCACAGACTGTATACTTACACACATACACATATTCTTTCTCTTCAGTACAGTACTCTACTTGTAGTTACTTTTATTATTACTATATTATTATGTTTAACATGTTTTAATATATTTGGAAGTTTTTAAGTATTTTATATACGTAGAAAGGTAAACACACACCCACTACCATCCAGTCGGACCCGACTCATAGCGACCCCTCCTTGGGTTTCTGAGGCAGTATCACTATGGAAGTAGATTGCCCAACCTTCCTTCCGAGGAGTGGCTGGAGGGTTTGAACTGCCAGCCTTCTGGTTAGCAGTCAATGCCTTAGGCACTATGCCACCAGAGCTCCTAGAAAGGTAAAGTGTATGCCAAATAATAAGACAAACATTTGATTGACACTAAATTAGAACCGTATGTACCTGTTCATTCTGATTTACCTACAAATTTGACTGACAGACTCAGGAATGGATCTTGCTCGTAACCTGGGGACTGCCTGTAAATCCTAACCTCTAAACCTGTGGTTATAATCTCATATGAGAATGGGTTCTCTTTGTTATGTTAATGAGGCAGGATCAGTGTAGGGTGTATCTTGAGTCAATTCTTCTGAGATATGAAAGTTTAAAAAAACAGCAGAGCAGAGATGGGGTAAGATAGATGTAGACACATGGAGATCTCCAAGAAACCAGGAAGCAGAAGCTAAAGAGATAAGGACCTTCCTAGAGGGGACACAGAGAGAGACTTCCCTAGAGATGGTGCTCTGAATTTGAACTTCTAGCCTCCTAAATTGTGAGAAAATAACTTTTTGTTTGTTAAAGCCATCATTTGTGGTATTTCTGTTATAGCAACACTAGATAACTAAGCAGATGAGTACTACATTTTAATTATATTGATTTGTTAATACTTCTTACATGAAATAAGGCAGCAAATAGAGTCCCCTCCCTGATAACAGTAATAACTGCACATTTGGTGTCTTAGTATTTATCCTAACCAAGATTACTGAGAGCATTGTAAACAGTTTTAAAATATTACCCAAAGGAGGATTATTTCAAGAGGCAACATCCAGAAAAAATCTAACTTGCATTGGTAGTCATTGTTTTATTAACTGTCAGTTCTGATCTAGAGCAGGGGTTGGAAAACTTTCTGTAAAAGCCAAACAGTAAATATTTTAGGCTTTGGGGCTATATGGCCTCCATTGCAACTACTCAACTCTTCCTTGTAGTGCTAAAGAAGCTTTACACAGTACAGAAGCAAATAAGCATGGCTTTGTTCAAATAAAACTTTATGGACACGGAAATTTTAATTTCATATAATTGTCATGTGTCACAAAGCAGTATTCTTCTTTTGATTTTTTTTCCTAACCATTTAAAAATGCAAAAAAAACATCTTTATCTCACAAGCCATACAAAAACAGGCTGCAGGCAGAATTTGGCCCATGAACTATAGTTTGCAAACCCCTGTTCTAGAGAGCAACAGCGAAACTGCCCTCTTTATAGACTACCATTCCAAAATTGACTGATTGCACTAGCCATGTGCTGGGAAATATGCAAACTGGTTAAACAAAAACAAAAACAAAAAGATAAATTACCAAAGGCTGGCTAAAGTGTGAAGGAAAGAAGTCCTCACACTCAGCATACTGTACTCTGTGCCAGGTCCCATATGGCTCACCAATGGCCACATCACCTTGGCTTCCACAACCAACAGCATCAATGTCCAGCAGTTCTAACATATCCATCTGATACTGAGCAGCATTTACTAGCTGGGCATCTTTCATTATCCACCAAGTTACCACTCCTCACTGAGGAACAGAAAGCCACCTTGAGTCCAGCTTCTTTGGCTGCTAATGGTCAAGCAATATTCTAGCAGCTCTTGTGTGTTCTGTCTACACCCTAGAAACTGGGCTTTCTGCACAAAGCCAAGTTCTACCGAATCACTCTGCTATTTTAAGGGCAGAACTATAAAACTTTTTTTTTTTTTTTTTTTTGCTTAGCTTGGAAAATCTGAGCTCTCCCACACCAGAGAGGAGGAACAGAAGAAATGAAATTTGGAAATACTTTTGTTACAGTGCTATCACACTCATCAGCTGACAAGATCGCTTGTCAAGTCTTCTTCTAAGTGCCAAACTCACACCAAACCACAAGTCCATTCTGACTCATAGCGATCCTATAGAACAGAGTAGAACTGCCCTCTAGGGTTTTCAATCCTCAGGGAAGCAGACTACCACATCTATCTCCAGCGAAGCAGCGGGTGGGTTCCAAGGGCCCACCTTTCAGCCTAGCACTTAACCACTGCGCCACCAGGGTTCCCTCTCCTAAGTGCACGGTGAGGGGTCTAAAATATAAAGTGCAGCTTAACAGTGTGCAAGTGGCCTTTACTTTTTAAAGGACATTTGTACACAAACGTACAAGTTGGGTAAATAATTTCATGTCTGGGCAAACAATATCCAGATCACAGCTAAGAGAAAATGACGCGGATTTCCCACCCTGCACTCTTCCGGGTTTTCTCTGAGAAGTAGGCCTGGATGCACAGGCCGGTTGCCTGCGCACCGAAGCCTGGAGCCTTCCTCTGTGCGTTTTTGGGGGGCAGTGGGAAGGGGGAGCTTCGTTCTCTCTCATGGGTCTCCGGAAACCAGCCAAGGGCTAAAGTACGAAGTCTCCAGGTGAGAACAAACCCCAAGGTCCTTAGAGCTGCGCTCTGGAGTCAGAAGGTGTTTCCTTAAAGAAAGCTACTCCTTAGGAGTTTCTTCCCATTCTGATACGGGGCAGGAACTCCGGAGACCATCTAGAAAGTTTCCACCAAAGAAAACGCTGAGGCCAGGGGCGGGGTTTAGTGAGCGCAGGGAGATCCTCCTCATTCGCAGGATCCCTCTGTGGTGTGACTTTCACAGCTCAGCTGCTTCCTCTCTTCCCCTTAACGTTCCCTTGCTGTCAGGCCGAGGGCCAGGTGCGCCAGGGACTAGGGGCTAACCGGAGTGTTCCCCGTCGGTCACTCGGAAGACGGGTGGAACCAGTAGCTGGACAGTCACTTCCCACACCGTTCCTTGAGAGACCCTTGGGCGGGCGCGGGGCCCAAGTTCCGGCCCCCAGGCTCAGGGCGCATCCGCTGGGCGAGCGAAGCGCAGTGTGTAGTTGGCGCCAGAATTGTTGTCCCAGTACTCGCCCTGCGCGCAGCAGTAGCGGACCGCGAAGTGCACAGCTGGGCCCAGCGTGTCCGCGTCCTTATGCTCCTGGTCTTCGGACGTAAGGCCCGGCGGCAGGCACAGAGTGAAGTGGAAGCGCTCGGTGCCCGGCTCCTCGCAATCCCCGGGCCCGGGTTCCACCCTGGCTACCCCCGACGACACCCCTGGCGGCTGCAGTTCCTCCGGCTCGGGCTGTAGTTCAGCAGGCACGTCCAGGAAGGAGCGCCAATCGGTGAAGGTGTAGCGCACTGTCACGGCCTTCGGCCCAGCACCACTGAGGACCCGGCCCGAGCCAGTCACTTCTGCGCCCCAGGGCGCCGAACAGTCCACGCGCTCAAGGCACACCCGCTGCTGCCGTAGGCGCTCTACCATGGCTCTGGGGTTCGGAAGCTGGAAGAGCGGCCGGAGCTGGGGTGGAGTGGGCGCCGTGGGAGGCGCGGCTCCCTTCACTGCCGCCACAGCCGCCGCAGTCGTCGCCGTGGCCAGCAGACCCCCGAGCTGCTCCAGATCCTCGGCGCTCATGGGGAAACTCCGGAGGCGGGATAGAGCTGCAGGCGGCACCTGTGGCTCTTCAGCTTCGCTGAAATGCTTCACGCTGGCCAGGCTCAGCCCCAGCGCGTCAGCGAACTGCACCCGCTTTTTGCACTTGGTGCAGCAGTCGCCGGGGCTAGGCGGTACGGCCCGGGCCGGCTCGCTTCCCTCGGCGCCCAGCCCCTCGGCCTGCGCCGGCGGCTCCGATGACTTCGCCGCCTGCAAGATTGGGTCGGCCGGCAGCGAGAAAGAGCGGGCGCGGCGGGCGCGGCGGCATTCCAGCATCTCCTGGTGCTGGAAGGTTGTCTCTTCATCTGCGGACAGGGCGCTGGCCCCAGGATGAGCGTCGGGGTCCGCAGCCTCAGAGAGGCCACTACTATTCTCGCCATTTTCCAGGCAGAGGCCATCCGGGTCCGGCAGCTCTTCGGCCGGCGGGGCCTCTCGGAAAGGCGCAGGGCCTGGCGCCTCCAAACTTTGGAGCTGCGCCCCTGAGGCCTCCATGACGCCGTCGCGCCCTGGAACTTGTTTGAGTCGCGTTCTCCAGCTCAGGACTCCCCTGGGGATTCATCGCATCGTGCCGCCCGAAGGAGCGCGAGGGTCTTGGGCTGGTAGGCCATGAGCCCTGAGTCCGCCCGGGAAGGCTGGACAGGAGAGTGAAGGTCCCCTTGGGAAGCTCCGGGTTTTAGCTGCTGCTGCTTTGGGCGAAATGGGAGGTGGATGCGGGACCCGGGGTCCACTGCAGGGCGAGGTTGCCACGGGATTGAACCAGCCCTGGCCAGCGAGGGGCCTTGCCGGGGGTGCGGGCGGTGCTCAGGCGGTGTGCCAGGTGCAGGAACCCCTGGAAGCGAGTCAAGCGCCAGGGCCAAGAGGCAAGTAAACGACTTTGCTCCAGTGTCTGGATAACAAGTGGTAGACGCTCCCTGAAAGTCGGGTCTCCCCTTCGACCTCACTGTCCAGCAAGTCTTCCGTCGGGCCCGCCCTACCCAACGCCTCGGAAAGAACGCACAGTTCACTTTCTTAGACACCGGCGCGGACAGAACCCTCCTAGAGAGCGTCTCTCGGGCTGCTGATGAAGTTGGTCCCCCGGATCCTAATGGGTCTGTCCTCCGAAAGGTCGCAGAACGGTCTCCTCCAGCTGACCCTGGGGCAAACGTACAATAGACACTCACGGCCAACTTGGCTCCCGGCAACCCAGCCCGCGCAGAGAGACCAAGGAACTTCTTGCCTGCTCCAAACTTCAGGGCGCCGCCGGGTTCCAATCCTACTCAGAAACCCGACTCGGCCTGGGATGCTCGGCTCTCGGCGGTTCTTAAAACCTGGCGGCCGGAGCAGCCAACCCCACTAGCCAAGTGGTGGAGCTGGGTGGGCTTAGGCCCAGGCGGGGCGGGGCAGGACGAGCTAAAGGAGGCGGAGGGCAAGGCGGTAGCGGCTAAGAACTCAGAGCTGCAGGGGACATTCGCGCTGGGCCCAGGAGCACGTATAGCCTTCCCTCCCCTTCTCCCGCCCCGCCTCACTCGCGCCCAGCACTCGGGGCGGGCGCGGAGGGGAGGAGCTGCTGCGGGGCTGGCACGCACTCCTCTAACACCCACGCTGGCGCCCATCTCCTCCTCACAGCTCCCGGACCCCCGCCGCACAGCTCCAACGAACCCTGGTCGCCCGCCCAGGCCTTCATAAAGGCCCAAAAGCCCAAACCACGGAACTGAGGACCCCGGGGTGGGGTGGGGGGAGTGAGGGAGGGACTGGTAGGTCACGCTACCTGGGAATAGGGGGAAGTCCAGAAAGGATTATTTAAAAAGTCAACTGCACTTTGTTATATGCAGTGGGTCTCAAATTTTTCGCGCCAATCATAATCCCCTGGAGGGCTTGTGGAAACAGAAGGCTGGGCTCCAGCCCCAGAGCTTCAGTAGATCTGCGGTAGCATTTAGATCTTCAGTAGCATTTCTAACAAGGCTATGCTGAAGTTGTGGTCTGAGAATCACAATTTGAGAGCTATTCATGGAGCTCTGGTAGCTTAGTGCCTAAGGCACTTGACTGCTAACTAGAAGGCTGGCCGTTCAAACCCACCAGCCACTCCTCAGAAGGAAGGTTGGGCAATCTACTTCTGTAGTGATACCCCCTCCGGGGATCGCTATGAGTCAGTGGGACTGGAGGGCACATAACAACAACAATGGAGCTTCGGTTGCGTAGTGACCAAGGCATTTGACTGCTAACCAGAAGGCTGGCTGTTCAAACCAACCAGCCACTCCTCGGAAGGAAGATTGGGAAATCTACTTTCTAGTGATACCGCCTCGGAAACCCACGGAGGGGTCACTATGCGTGGAATCAACTCGCAGGCAGTGAGTGTGGTATTTTTGGTTTGAATGAACATGTAGGGAGCCCTGGTGGTGCAGTGCTTAATGGAATCAGCTAACCAAAAGGTCCGTGGTACCAAACCACCAGCCGCTCTGCAGCAGAAAGACCAGGCAGTCTACTTCTGTAAAGGTCTGCAGCTTTGGAAACCCTATGGGGCAATTCTGTTCTGTCATATTGGATCACTATAAGCTGGAATCCACTTGAAGGCAATGGGTTTGGTTTTTTTGGTTTTGGAATGAAATGAAAGAGTCCTAGTGGCACAATGGTTAAGAGCTAGGCTGCTAACCAATACTAACCTAAGGGGCCTTTGGAACCCACCAGCTGCTCTGTGGGAGAAAAGACCAAGTGATCTGCTCTGGTGAAGATTACAGCCCAGAAAACCTTGAGGGAGAGGTTCTGCTCTGTCACATAGGGTTGCTATGAGTGGGAATCAACTGGAGGGCACTCAATAATGAAACTTTGGAGCCCCTGGGTGATGCAAATGGTTGACCTGCTCAGCTGCTAACTGAAAGATTAGAGGTGAGGTGCCTAGGGTGCAAGATTTCAGGAGACTCCAGGCCTGCCCAATTCTCTTTTTGGCAGGAACCTTGGTGGAAATGTTAGAGGAATCCTTGGGGCCTTGGGGTGGGGGAGAGCAGGCTGGGTGGTGGGAGCTGACCCCAGAGTTTCTTTAAAGGTCCTTGGCCGTATGAGATGGTAGATGTGATCTGTGAAGCCACACCCCCTCCCACTCTTCATCCACCACCTAATAGTGAGGAAAAGAATGCTGGGTACAAAGTGGGCCTGCCAGAGGGGTGGGGTGTCTGCCTTTTCAGCCCACTTAGCTGTTACCTACACCCCACAGGCTGTGCTTTTGTGATGCGATTTCTCCTTGAGGCTATGGTTCATCATTATTGATTTTACCATCCAGTATACAGGTGTATACTGGCCTGTGTTGCCCCTTCCTCAACCTTGTGCCCTCCATGAGTGTGTTTCTCTTGGCCCAGTCCAGCCTTCCACATGTTGCCTCAAGGTGAGAAACACTTTTTATGGGATGAGGTTTCAACCCCACACATTAAGCACTATGTTGTTGTTGTTAGGTGTCCTGGAGTCAGAGTGACCCTATGTACAACAGAAGGAAACATTGTGTGGTACTGTGACATCCTCACAATCATTGCCCTGCTTGAGATCATTGTTGCAGACACTGTCAATCCATCTCATTAAGGGCTGTTCAGGTTACTTAGTGCCACTCTGACAAAAATATACCACAAATGGGATGGCTTGAACAAACAGGAGTTTATTCTCTCATAATATGGAGGCTTTAAGTCCAAGTTCAAAATGCCAGGCTCTAGGGGCTGAATGAAAGCCCACTGGAGCTAGAGACATTTCTTCACTCAGACAGCTGCTGGCTGCTGAGGCTGAGAAGCCCCAAGGTTGACAAGTAAAAAGGCACAGTCTTGATGGTACCAAACCACATGGCAGGCCATTAACCTAAGTCCATTTTAAGTCCCAAGGTCAGCAGGACATGGTAGGCTGCTGAGCAACGACATGGCTACATGCAGGGTCCAAGTGTGCCATAGGCTAGAGACCATTCTCAAAGCTTCTCCTTAAATACAGGAAGCAGACCATATCCCAAAGACAGCTGGTTGAGGTAGACCCCACCATGGAGTTGACTGCCAGTCTCATCATGAGGAATAACTACCACCCAGCCACTCAACCAGGCCTAGTCAAGTTGACACACAAACATAACCATCACAAGGGCCTTCCCTTTTTTTGCTGATCCTCTACTTTACCAAGCATGATTTCTTTCCCCAGGGTTTGGTCCCTTTCAACAACATGACCAAAGTATGGCAGACAAAGCCTGGTCATTCCTGCTTCTGAGGAGCATTCTGACTACACTTCCTCCAGGACATTTGTTTGTTCTTCTGGCACTCCATGGTATTTTCCATATTCTTTGCCAACACACACTTCAAAGGCATCAATTCTTTAATCTTCTTTATTCGTTCTCTAGCTATCACATGCATATGAAGTGATTGAAGATACCATGGCTTGGGGGCACTTTAGTTTTCAAAGTGACATCTTTGCTCTCTAACACTTTAACGAGGTCTTTTTGCAGCAGATTTGCCCTATACAATACATCATTTGATTTCTTGACTGATGCTTCCATGGGTGTTGATTGTGGATCCAAGTAAAATGAAATCCCTAACAGCTTCAATCTTTTCTCCATTTATTATGGTGCTGCTTATTGGTCCAGTTGTGAAGTTTTTGTTTTCTGTAATTTGAGGTATATCCATAATAAAGGCAGTAGTCTTGATCTTCATCAGTAAGTGTGTCAAGTCTTCTTCACTTTCAGCAAGTAAGGTTGTGTCATCTGCAAATTGCAGGTTGCTAACGAGTCTTCCTCCAATCCTAATCCCACGTTCTTCTTCATGTAGTCCAGCTTCTTGGATTATTTGCTCAGCATACAGCTTGAATAAATATGGTGAAAGATATAACCCTGATGCACACCTTTCCTGATTTTAAACCAGGCAATATCTCCTTGTTCTGTTTGAATGACTGTATCTTGGTCTATAGACAGGTTCCTCATGAGCACAATTAAGTGTTCAGGAATTCCCATTCTTCACAATGTTATCCATAATTTGTTATGATCCACACATTGAAAGTCTCTCCACAGTCAATAAACACAGGTAAACATCTGTTCTGGTTACCTAGTGCTGCTCTGACAAGAATATACCACAAATGGGATGGCCTTAACAAACAGGAGTTTATTCTCTTACAGTTTGGGAGGCTAGAAGTCCAAGTTCAAAGTGCTAGGCTCTAGGGGCTGGGTGAAAGCCCCTCAACCTTGGGGTTCTTCTCTGCCTCCTACTCCTGGCCCACTGGTGCTAGAGGCTTTTCTTCTTTCAGACAGCTGCTGGCTGCTGAGACTGACCAATCCAAGGCTGACAAGTAAGAAGGCAGTCCCATTGTTACCAAACCACATGGCAGGCCATCAATTTAAATCCATTGAAAGTCCCAAGTTCAGAATAGCATGGCAGGCTGCTGAGCAATGACACAGCTACATGCAGGGTTCAAGCATGCCATAAGGTAGGGACCATTCCCCAAGGCTTCTCCTTATATTCAGGAAGCAGACCACATCCCTAGGGAAGCTATTCAGTTGCTCACAGTAA